TGTTCTCGTAGGAGCCTTCCATGATGCCTTTGATGAGATCTTGGTGGCCTCCTAGGAGCCGAGGTGGCGCAGTGGTTAAATGCAGCGCTGCAGGCTACTTCAGCTGACTGCAGTTCTGCAGGTCAGCTGTTCAAATCTCACTGGCTCAGGGTTGACTCAGCCTTCCGTCCTTCCGAGGTGGGTAAAGTGAGGACCCAGACTGTGGGGCAATATGCTGATTCTGTAAACCGCTTAGAGAGGGCTGAAAGCCCTATGAAGTGGTATATAAGTCTAACTGCTTTTGCTATTGCTATTGCTACCTTGCAAAATCTTCTGCTTTTCCCTTTCTTGTCTTGAAAGCAACTGGTGTTTGCAGGGCTTCTCTGGCCTCTAAAGGACTCACGCCTGGACAGGGAACTCCAAAGAGCTCTAGGGATTGCAGGCTAGACCAGAAGAAACTTCCAGAAAGAGGCAGCGGTAAATCACAGTATCTTTCCCGTGTTTGCCTGCCCGAGCAAGGTAATGGCGAATTAAAACAGCACAGAAAGTTAACTCAGCCCTATCAGGCTGCTGCGGACAAGTAACTTGGAATTTAAAGCTAGTTGCAGTTTGAATGCTGTGTGGCAGGTTGCCATGTTTCATGCTGCATTAAGCATCTTTTGCAAGCCCAGTAAATGAGAAGCCCACTTTGGAGAGCGCAGGAAGAAGATCTGCCCCCCCCCCCATGTCTTGCAGTTAAGGAGAGGCTGAACCAAGAATGTCCCCAGGTGAGAAGTATTCAAGGCTAATATCTTTGTGTCTTTTTTTTAAGCCAGAGATCCTTTTGCAATGAAAGAAACTTCTGTAGCGCTGAGGGAACCAATGTTCACTCAACTTTCTGCCTGATTAGGCTAAAACATTTTTTCCTTCCTTCCTTCCTTCCTTCCTTCCTTCCTTCCTTCCTTCCTGCCTTCCTTCCTTCCTTCCTTCTGTTTGGTCAGCTTCTTCCCTTCTGCTTTTGATTTTACTCCCTCCTGCTCAGGACAGTGTTTGAGAAAGGAGGTGCAGAGAAGTCCTTATGTATTATTTATTTGATAGTATTACAGGGAGAGGCTGCTCAACTCTCCAGACAACTGGCTCACAGAAAGGAAAGAGCAGTAAAAGAGAAGAAAAAAAATCAAGAAACAAGGGCCAAAGTCTCAAACAGAACGGAGAGGGGCTCAGTGGCTAAGACGCTGAGATTGTCGATCAGAAAGGTCGGCAGTTCAGCGGTTTGAATCCCTAGTATAGATCTCCTGCGTGAGCAGGGGGGTTGGACCTCCAAAGACAAGTCCCTTCCAACTCTGTTATCGTTAACTAACCATCCCACGTGCCTTTCTGCTGGGAACAAGGGCAGGGGCGATGGGGAGGTCATATTTTAGCTTGCTCCCACCAGGCTGGTCATCCAGCTTCAGCGTCCCCAGCCAGGTGCCCCGAAGAATCCGGAGCTGCTGAGCAAACGGCAGCAGGAGACCAGAACTGAAAGGCCTTTCAAAGGTTCATAAACTGGGACTCCATTTCCAATCTGCTCCTACACATCTGGAAGAACCTGGCTGCCTGCACAGCCTTCCCTCCCCTTCCCTTCCCTCCCCCCATCCCCTCCCCATCTCTGGCTCCCATCAGGGATAACACAAAGCAACAGGCATCTCCAGAGGCAGCTTCTCTGCTTCTCCAGGTCTTGCATCGCCAAGCTGAACCAAGACATAAAGCATACTTCTGGACAAGCCACTTTTCTGCCCTCACTCCCCATTTAATTACTCCAGAGTGACCTCTTGGTGGCACGCCAGTCGTAAGTGGCGCTGGGAGAGAGTCCCGTGTGTCGGATGGGTGTGCACAGCAGTAAATCCCCCAGAGAACAAAAGATGGCTTGTTTATGCAGTTGGTTATGTGACACAAATTCTCCCGCAGGATTATCTGCTACCAGCCTCCAGTATATAAACACTGGCAGAGTGCAGGATTCCTGGGCTGGCAGCCTTCCTCCCTTTTACTCTTCCTTTAGCAGGCAGGAATAATGTGATTATAAATCAGATAGATCGGCCTTTCTGGTTAGAAAAAAAGCTCACCTTCCCAGCTTCTCCAATCGCAGCTCACTTTCTCTTTATTTCTATCACAGGTAAGCAAGCAAAAGTATAGATTTATTGTTTGTTTACAATGTGAAATATTTCCTCTTGCCAGGCTGGAAATACTTTAGCTGGGAAACAACGATACCCACAGCAGCTATTTTCCAAAAGGGATTGAATTCATACCTCCTGCTAACCTATGATCGGTTTTATCAAGTTTTATTGACTAAGCCGTAAGTAACGGGATTTGCACTAAGCTTAGCCAAACCATACAGAGCCGGGCAGGCTGTGAGCCCCACTTTGCAAGCAAAATCTATTCTTGATGGGAAAATATATTTTTGACTGGTTCTGTGAACTTCTGTCTCCAACCCTTCCGCCTTTCTTAAGACTGAGTTCTGCAGCTGGGACAGAAGTGTCTATTTTTTGCACGTTGCCAACATTTTGCACATTACAAATATTTTTTGCACATTTGTTGCACATTCAGTTGGAAAGTGAGTCAAGGTGCAAAGGAGTTAACCATGCACAGCCTATCAACTCTTGGAATATTTACATCAAGACATCTGTCCCATAATGGGCTCTTGGCTCTTTCTGAGAGTCAAGGAATTCTAGGGATCCCTCAAGTTCTTGCAAGAGAGGCCTTGGCTTTGTGGCACATCTCAATCAATGTCATCCCAGAGGTCTTTTTCCAAGAGGCAACTGAACACACCCTTGGGTTTTTCTTGAAGATGTTATGCTTCTCGTCCAAGAAGCTTCTTCAGTTCTAGTGGAATTCTCCACCATTCAGTCAGAACTGAAGAAGCTTCTTGGAGGAGAAACGAAAGTCTTCAAGGAAAAAATAAAGGCCAGTTGCCTCTTGAAACAACATCTTCAAAGCAGGTTCTTTGACTGCAGACTGGATTACTGTAACACGGTCTACATGGGGCTGCCCCTGAAGAGTGTTCAAAGACTACAGTTGGTCCAGAACGCAGCCGCGCGAGCGATATGGGGTGTATCTAGATACATCCATATTATACCTATCCTCCGTGAGCTGCACTGGCTTCCTATTGGTCTCCGGATGCGCTTCAAGGTGCTAGTCGTTACTTTTAAAGCCCTACATGGTTTAGGACCTGGCTACCTGAGAGACCACCTTCTGCCAATTACCTCCCTATGACCAAGTAGATCCCACAGATTAGGCCTCCTCCGGGTTCCATCAACTAGCCAATGTCGACTGTTGACCCCCCCAGGGGAGGGCCTTCTCTGTAGCTGCGCCGGCCCTGTGGAACGATCTACCTGCAGAGATCCGGACCCTTCCCACTCTCCCAGCCTTCCGTAAAGCCGTCAAGACCTGGCTGTTCCGGCAGGCCTGGGGCTGTTGATTGATATCCAGCCCCGCTTAGATGGAACGGGTGATGTGAATTTTAATACTGTATTTTTATTTTTTATCTCTATTTTTTAAAATTAAATGTTTCTTGTCTGTTGTGAGCCGCCCAGAGTCCCTATGGGAGTGGGCGGCATACAAATCCTAATAAACTTGAAACTTCTTTCTCGGGACGATGGGTGTGTCTTTTGGGGGCAGAATCAAGAGGCCTCCCCCCCTCCTGCTCCCCCCTGTATATATCATGTCCTCCAGGGAAAAAAACCCACCTCTCCCACAGAGTCTGGTGCTGCTTTCATTTTGACATCAAGTTAAAGCACATTTCTTTACCTGAGCAGATTTGGAGTTGAAAAATAAAACCTCTTTATGCGCAGCCTGGCTTTTTTTCATGCCTCAGATTTGCTGGTGGTGTTTTTTTTATTCTTATTATGGCTCCCCTGATGTGGGGAAGATTGGGATTCAAGTGAAAGACAAAGAAGCTTCTCCCAAAAGTCGGCTTTGAGAGGGCAAAAGGCTATGTTTTCGCAAGATTTCTTCCCTTGAAAAAACATTTCCCCCAGAAGCCATGCTCAAAACATTGCAGCTTTTATCCAAACGCTCTCCAGGAGCCGGTTTTTATTTCTACTTCATTTTTGTTGGTGTGTGTGCGCGCGCCTGTGTGTCTCTCTCTACTAAAATGACTTTTAATTCATCCAATTTCTCCTTTTTAAAAAAAAAGGATGGTTTTTTTTTCCTTAACCAGCACGGTTGCATAATTAAATGCCGCTTGCCTGATGGGAATTCCGCTTTAAGTCATTTTTCCTCATTTTCTTCCCTGCAGTTTCCAGCACTTAACAAATAGCCCATTTTTTTTGTAGTCGGGTGATTTGAATAATGGGAAATTGGAATGTTTACCAAAGTGTTTCCACTTCCAATGCAAACCCTTCCCCTTCCATGCCCCACCAGCAAACGTGGCGGATCCAGAGGTGGTGGGAGAGCTGTGGCCAGAAACGATTTTTGAGTAGGCTTCAGATTGCCTTTCTTTTCCACCATTGGTTTTTTAACAACTAATTTCATGCTTCCTCTTTTGGTTATTTTGATTTGTTTAATGCTCCTGCTTATTTATTTATTTTTTTCTTGCTGAGTGTGTATTTTCTAAACTGAAGCCAGCCTAGAGAGGAAAACAATATGTTAAATAGTATAAAACTCTGCCCTTCTTTTCTGCGTCTCTCCGTTATCCTTTTTCTACCCCTTTATTTTATTTCTCAGTTCTTGGACTGCAGGCGTTATTCATCAATATAAATTGTACGTCTGTTTCTTCCCTCCTCGATGTCTGGGCAGGAAAGGAAGCAGGCCGTGGTCTTAGCTTTATCTCTAGCATGCTTTCAAATATGTTTTTATGGATGTTTTTATACTTATCTCTGAAAGTTAGCTGTAGATATTAAAGGAGACAGAGCGGCTTTCTTAATAAGCATTCAGATTCCAGGCTCTTGATTGCCACGGGTGTTTCTGAGATCTGGGGGCAGGTTGTGTCTCCCAGAAACTTCTTCATCATCATCATCTCAGGTTCTCCTTAACTCTGCTTCCCCACCTGGTTCGAGCACGTCAGCATGCTGGTTATCCTCTTGAACTGCGTCACCCTCGGGATGTTCCAGCCATGTCAGGATATCAGGTGCCAAACGGAACGGTGCACGATCCTGGAGGTAAGAGAGACACGTCGCTTTGTTCACGTGGGCTTGGAGCTCAGCCTCTCGAAGTTTGTGGGTTGGTCTTCAGCTGCTCCTGAGCCTTGAGAAGTCTGCAGGCCGGGTGTGGCCTGGGAAGGGTCCTTCAAGGTCTAAGACCCCCCCCCCCAGGGGTGAAAGGGAGGCTGAGGTTTAGGGCGAAGCTCGGCCAAAGAACAAGGCCTGGGCCAGCTCAACCCTCGGCTGGAGCTCCCGCTCCTCCTCCTCCTCCTCCCCATCGTGCTCCCTTCTTCTTTTAAATCCAGGCATTTGATCACTTCATCTTTGCCTTCTTTGCTGTGGAGATGATCATCAAGATGATCGCCCTGGGGATCTTTGGCCACAAATGTTATCTAGGAGACACCTGGAACCGCCTCGACTTCTTCATTGTCATTGCTGGGTCAGTAGACGGGACGCTTCTGCGGGGGGTGGGGCGGTGTCCCTGGTGCTCTCTGACCTCCAGGGCTTCATTGCAGACCTTTCATGGCCCAGCTAGGTAACATCCTCAGTGCTGGAAGGGAGAGGGGTTTCTGGAGAGGTGGAGGAGGAGGAGGACTGTGTAGTCCTTGATGTTTTCTGACCTGGATTGTTTTCTTGCAGGCATTTCATTACTCAATTAAGTAACACCTTCAATGGTGTGAAAAACACTCCTGGCTTGATTGACAGCACTGAAGGCCAAATTTGATGAATGGGCTGTGGATAGGGAGGGGGTGGGGTGAGTCCAGCTTCCTTTTAGTGCTCCTAAGTTTTATTTTCCCTGAAAGAAAGCATGAACTGTCCAATGCAGTCACCTGCTTTTATATTCCAGAAGGTTAACCCAAAACATTGCAGATGTAAGAAACCTGGTTAAGGTCCGACTGCCTCAACCTATGTTTTTTTTTCCAACCGAGGGGCCGGCCCCGTCCTCTCCCTCACCTCTCGTGTTTCCTTCCTTCTTTCTCTCCCTCCCAGCATGATGGAATATTCTCTGGATGGACATAATGTCAGCCTTTCAGCCATCCGGACTGTGCGGGTTCTCAGGCCCTTACGAGCCATTAACAGGGTGCCAAGTAAGTCACAGCCCTTGGGGTGGGTGGGCTTCCTGGTGGGCGGAATGCATGGGGAGAATCTTGGGTACCGGGGTCTCGGACTGCCAGAGCTTCGTTTTGCAAAAGCCCCGTGAAATCCTGACCAGGTGAGCCGCCAAAATCCAGGCCTGTCTTAGCTCCAACATGGGGGTTAACTCCCAGTCCAGGAAAAAGAATAGACTGATTTGAATGCTTTCGTTTTATTCATAAACCTCCCATCCCCAATGCTCCCCCCCCCCAAGAAAAATCTCAAGGCAACACAAGAGCCCCCCGTGGAGAAGCTGAAGGAACAGACTCACATCAGCCCCTCTAGGTCCTCTTATCCAGCCAGGGCTCTTCACCCTGGTACCTTCCAGATGTTTGAGACCACAAACTCCATAATCCTTGGCCATTTCCATCTCCTCCCTCCCTCCCTTCAGTTTTCCTCCTCCCTCCCTCCCTCTCTTCCATTTTCCTTCCTCCCTCCCATTTTCCTCCCTCTCTCCCTTCAGGTTTCCTCTCTCCCTTCCTTCCTTCCTCCCTCCCTCCATTCCTTCCTTCCATTTTCCTTCCTTCCTCCCTCCCTCCCTTCAGTTTTCCTCCCTCCCTCCCTCCCACCCCCTCTTCCATTTTCCTTCCTTCCTCCCTCCCTCCCTTCAGTTTTCCTCCCTCCCTCCCTCCCACCCCCTCTTCCATTTTCCTTCCTTCCTCCCTCCCTCCCTTCAGTTTTCCTCCCTCCCTCCCTCCCACCCCCTCTTCCATTTTCCTTCCTTC